GCGATATGAAGCGGTATATAAATAAGCTGCTTTGCTTTTTGCTTTGCTACTGTAATGCATTTTTTAATTATTACATTACACCTGGAAGGAAAACACACAGTGAGGTGTTATATAAATTTAATAAATAAAATAAAAATACAATGCTCTCCAGACATACCAATGGCTACACACTCCAATACCAACAAAATTCCATTCATAAATTCCATCAAGATTAAAAACTTGTGTCTTTCCACCCCTCCATGGATCTTCACAGATTCCTTCCTGGCCATTCATCAGCTATGGCTGCTGTAGAATTAGCAACAGACCATTCCCCACATCAATGGGCAAGGTTCCACAAACAGTCGATTGCAGAGAAAGAACAAGAAATCCTCAAGTAAAAGAGAGCACGGCAGCCTTTAATTCACCATTTCGTGACAAGGTACTGCAAAGGAGGCTCTGAACACCTTGTCTATTACGTGCCAAAATGCACTGAGAGAACAGGGTGATTTGAGGACACAGCAGCAGTTTCAAAAGCATCCCTGTATTTAGTATGCCTGATGCGGGTTCTAGCATTGATGAAACAATGAAGAACTAAGACAGAAGCAACCAAGATTGCACAATCTTTCTTCCCTCCACCTTCCAAAAGCCATTATTATGCAGTAAGACCCAGTGCAGATTGCCTGCATACAAATCTGAAACATCTTCGAGCTCCAGAACTGGGTGACAGCCTAAAACAAATACTGGGAATAGCTTCAACCTTTGCTGTAGTGATTGCGGTACCCAGTGTGGCTGGTTTGGCTCAGAATCCATTTGTAAAGCAATTCTGCCATCTTGTGGCCACTGAGCATACCCAGCTTGAAAAGCTGCAGTAGTTTAGCTGGCTAAAACCAAGGCATTTTGCAAGGCTAGCCTAGAAGGTCAGTCAATGAAATTTTGCTGCCTGAAGCACAGTTCCCCCTCCCTCTCTTCCCTGACACCCATCAATCTGCATCAAACCCATACCAGGCAGATTAGCTTGGTACCTATGGCAGAAAATATCTCTATCCTTTCTGGGAAGTGTGTGTGTGTTGTTAATTATTATTATTATTGTTGTTATTGTTATTGTTATTATCCCACTCCTCTGCGTAATGTAACCGGGGCAGCCTACAACTTTAAAATATACATCCATATCCATATCCCACAATCCCACCCCTCCCTTAAAATACAATTAAATAATGATAATTTAAAACGAATTTAAAATAGTAACACAAAATAAAGAAACAAATAACAATAGCTACAGCCAAATCATGGATGAACAGGATGGCTGTCTCTTAATGGCCAGGATATCTATTTGGGAAAGGCCCGCTGGAAGAGATCTGTCTTAACAGTTTTTTTTAGGCTGACTAAGGTGGTAATATGACGGATTGTTGTGTTCCTTCAAGTCACTTCAGATTCAAGGTGATCCTTGAAAACCATGGGTTTTCAGAACTGTTCAGAGGAGGTTTGCCTTTGCCTTCCCCAGAGGCTGAGAGCATGTGACTTGCCCAAGGTCACCCAGTGGGTTTTTTTGCTCAAGTAGAGATTTGAACCCTAGTATCCAGAGTTGTAGTCCAATCCTCAAACCACTATGCCACACTGGCTCTCATTTACTGGGCAGTAACTATGCAATAATAAATTATTTTTCCAAAAATGGAAAACAAAAGAGATAACTATAATAGATAATAGAATAGAAGATAATAGAAGAATGGCTGTTAAAAACTCTGGACAATATAGAACTAGATAGACAAACGTGATAGAAAGTAGGCCCATAGAAATAACAAACACAGACTGGGAAAATTTTTAAAAATTATTGTACAAAACAATGGTCATAACCACATCCTCAGTGTTCACAAAGCCCTGAATTATCTCAGAACAACAATAAGCAGAGAAATACTGAAGTCACAAAAACAGTATGGTAGGTAGTAAGAGGGAACTGTAATTTTTTTTTTCTTTCACTCAAAACCAGATAAATCAACTGGAAGCTCCGAAATAATTCATTTTGTTGTTAAATGTAGAACATTTAATAAAAAGAAAAATAATAATAAATTATTTTATCTTTTATGGCACACCAAAATCTGCTATCTGAAAGGGATGCTATACTATACCTAACAGTAGAACCAGCCCTGGTAATTTAGGTGAGTTTCTGAATGTAACCAATAGCAATGTGTAATAACCAGTCAGTTGCAAGATAATTCCCTTGTTTATGGGGCCTTCGACTGATAGAACAATTGGAGATTTCCCTCTAACCTTTGATGTAGTGCCTTATATGTCTGGACAGGCACAATTGTATTCTTGAGAGTCCCAAATTACGCAGAGACGTGATAATCTGAGGGTTTCAATTTGCTTTAATTAGTATATTAGCAAGTCCTGGTTCTATTTGTTGCTTCTTGGAAGTATGTTGAAAGAGTCATTCCACACAGCACAGCAATTTTTAAAACTAATTAACCAACTTTGGGAGATTAAGATTGTGGTTTATCTTGTTTGCATAATGGTTCTTGCTTATAGACATGGGAAGTGAAAAAAGGATGAGTAACCTGTTCAGGGCTATGACTTTGGAAAGCAGGGTTTGAATCCATGCTCAGCCATGAAACCTGGGCAAGTCATACACTCTTCGTCTCAGAAGATGGCAATGGCAAATCCTCTCTGAAGAAACTTGCTAAGAAAACGCCATGATAGGTTTGCCTTACGTTCACCATAAGTTGAAAATGACTTGAAGGTAAGACAAGACAACAACCATCTGTTCAAAGCAGAGCAAGTAAAATTATGACTTATTTTAAGCGCACCAGCACAATATGGTGGTTTGAGCGTTGGCCTAGGATTCCAGAGACCAGGGTTTAAATCCTCACTTGGCCGTGGAAACCCACTAGGTGACCTTGGGCAAGTCACTCTCTCTCAGCCCAAGAAGAAAGAAATAGCCAATTTCCTCTTAACAAATCTTGCCAAGAAAAACCCATGATAGGATTGCCTTAGGGCAGGGGTAGGCAACCTAAGGCCCGGGGGCCGGATGCGGCCCAGCAAGGCCTTTGGACCGGCCCCAAACCGGTCCTGCCGCCGCCGCCGCCGCCCCCCCATGATGATATTGATTATTGTTGTTATTACTTGTTCTTGGGGTTTTCTTGGCAAAATCTTCACAGGGGTTTTGCCATGGCTTTTCTGGGGCTGAGAGAGTGTGCATGCATATATTTTTTTAAATTTTTTAATTCTTTTTTAATTTTAATTTTAATTTATTTATTTATTTTTGGTGCTTCGGCCCATCAATTGTCTGAGGAACAGCAACCCGGCCCCCGGCTCAAAAAGGTTGCCTACCCCTGCCTTAGGGTCACCATAAATTAGAGAAGCCATCAAGGCACACAACAACAGTCATTTCAGTGAGGGTAGTAGACCTTGAGGTAACAAAAATTCAAGAAAAAGGAAAAAAATAACCCAAACTGGTAAGTGAAAATCCTCTTGCTTGCTTATTCTGGCATAGCTCCTTCCTCCACCCCCACTTTACACAAGCACACTAGCATATGTGTAAAGCCAGAGGGCCTTTTCTATCCTTGCCCCTAGACTCTGGAACGGCCTGCCGGACGAGATCCGTCAGCTAACATCTTTGGACAGCTTTTAAAAAGCTGTCAAGACGGATCTCTTCCGGCAGCCTTCCCAGATTAACTGCCTAGTCCCGGGCTGTTCCCTCCTTTAGTTGATCCTGGTTCCCTGTAATGCAACAATGGGATGATATATCTTGTCCTTATTATTATTAATTTCTTTTGTATTTTGTCTTAGGACTTTTAACTATGTACTGTTTAATACTGTTATAAGGGGGGGAGGGATATATTTGTTATTGTACTGATTTTTATGCTGTAAACCGCCCGGATTGGGCAACCATTGGGCGGTATAGAAATAAATAATAATAATAATAATAATAATAATAATAATAATAATAATAATAATAATAATAATTATTATTATTATTATTATTATTATTATTATTATTATTATTATTATTATTATCAGTGTTGACATTCAATGCCCAAAACTGCTTAGGACCTCGATATTTCAATATGAGCCTCTGCCCATATGTGAAAACCCCAAGGACTAAGATCTGCCAGAAATGCAAGGAGGGAGGACTTCTCCTCTGTGACACTCCACTTGTGGAAAGCCCTCCCCTTGGAGGCCTACCTGGCACCAAGGCTGACTTCTTTTCAGCACCAGCTCAAGACATGGCTTTTTATTAAAGCTGTTGGAGCCTGGTTTACTTTTATGCTTGCACATCTTTTAGCCTTTTAAAGCACCTTTAAATTGAATTGTTTAATATGTTTTTGTTATTGTTTATTGTTTCCAAATTATGGCGCCCTTAAGGCAATGATGGAGTTTTCCTTAGAAGATTTGTTCAGAGCAGATTTGCCACTGCCTTCCCCTGAGGCTGAGAACATGTGACTTTCCCATGGTCACCCAGTGGGTTTCAAGCTGGAAATCGAGCCCTGGTCTCCAGACTCATAGTCCAACATTCAAACCACTATGCCATACTGTCTCTCTTTGTTTCATCTTGTTTAAGTTTATTAATTTGCATTTGTTTAAATTGTTTATATTGTTTTATCTGTGCCTCACCTTAAGATCTCATGATAAAAAGGCAGGATAAAACTATTTTTATAAAGGTAAATAATGATTGTACTTTTAAAGACACTGCATAAAGGGAATTTATTTATTTATTTATTTATATCACACATTTCCCTCCAATAATGTTGCTCATGGCAGCTCACAACATATTAAAAATAATACAGATTAAAACTATACAAAAAGATCAGTAAAAGAAAAATGCAAACATTATTATAAAATGAATTAAACAATTTATGAAGTTTAAAATGTTAAAATTCATTAAATTCATTTAAATTCATTAAAGCATTTGTTGCTGTGTGCCTTCAGGTTGTTTCCGACTTATGGAAACCCCCAAGGCGAACCTGTCATTGGGTTTTCTTGCCAAGTTTCTTCAAAGGGGGTTTGCCATTGCTATCTTCTCAGGCAAAGGCTGTGACTTGCACAAGGTCACCCAGTGGGTTTACATGGCCAAGCGGGGATTCAAACCCTGGTCTCCAGAGACCTAGTCCAATGCTCAAACTACTACACCATCCTAAAAAGGTTATATATAAACCATAAAATCGCACAGCACACCATTAAAAGCCAATCTTAGTCAGTTTCTAAACCCCTGATGGCATAAGAACATTTTGCCTTGCCAATGAGAGGGGAGCAAGGACAGAGCCATTCCAGTCTTCCAAGAAAGAGGATATTCTGGAAGCAGCCACTAAGAAGGTCCTCTCCCTTGTTCCCATGAAAGGAACATGTGAAGGTGGTAGGACAGAGAGAAGAACCTCTCCAGAAGATCTTAGAGCTCTAAAGGGTTCATAAAAGGAGTTAAAACTCCTTCAAGTAGCCTGAACTCAAGCTGTATAGGTATCCAGTATAAGCAGATGGGCAGAGTCTTATGCTCCACAGTCAATCTATTAGGGTTTTGACTACGGTATATTTTTTTTCGTAGCCAATTCTGCTTCCTCTTAGTACAAGGAATGTGGCAAGTCAGTTAAGTCAGACACCATTTTAAGTTGACTGCTGAATGAATCGTGCTGGTTGGATTCATAGTCCAAAAAGAGTCCCTGAAAGAACTAAGCAGTAAATGAAATGCAGGTGTTACTTTAGATAATTATACATACTGTATAGACACACGGGATAGCAGTAATACAGCTCCATTCACAACATGTTTCAACAACACAAAATACATAGAATGCAAAACAGGCAGCCATTATCAAAACCAAAAAAATCAGCTAGGATTGAATGCGGTCTAACACATCCAAACTGACTACAGGTTTTCTGGTGGTGGTAGTGGTGGTATTTTTGGTATATCTGATACTTTTATTAGTAATATATATTTTGGCCATATATCCCCATGTGTTCTTTATCTAAATAGCATTAAATAGGGAGATCAGTCTCCCTGGAGACAGAGATGGTGGTGGTATGCTTTTTCATTTTTCTGCTAGAAGAAAATATCAGCAAGTGGGGCAGGAGGCACTCTGGGTGCCACAGAGAAGGCCTTGGTGGGCCACATATGACCCATTAACTACTTAATTCCCATGCCTGATATAGTAGACAGAGTACTGGACTAGATGCACAAAGGGCCCCGGGAATGTGGACAACCCAGGGGCTATGTTCACAAGGAACAGAAGTTACAACTCTAAAGAATGGTGTCTTGTTATGAACAAACCAGCATACTGGCACTTACTGTCCAGATGCTCTTGTCTGGCTCAGGTAAAAGCAACTAGATGTTCGGTCTATGATTGATTTATTTTGATATGTGAACCAGGAATTATGGCTTGTCTCTTCTCATCACGGCTTGTTCTTGCTTGCTGAAAAAAGTTAGGCTGAGTTACTAATCTGCACACTGTAGTATAGTAGTATGGGGCATGAACTACTAACAACAATTACAGTAAAGCTAAAGAAGAACATTAAAGAAGAACACGAAACCAACCATTATGCTGAAATAAAACCTGAAGAAAATCCCCACAGAATTTAAAGATAATGTGAAAAGTAGAATTTGCACTGGCAAACTTAATTGAATGGGAACTAGATG